CAGTAAAATAGTCATCGGGGACTGACGGTGCAAACCAGGGCTCTTCAAATCTGGACCTCGACTCCTCATGTTCCGGCCGAGCTGTTTAGCTCCCGGACCGAAGACCAGCTCTCTGGCCAGCGCCATTGTACGCTGTACCAGCACTTTGGTCGTGGGAACGTCAGCGCGGCGCTTCTATTATATTCTGCTTGTTCTGGTCTCTGATTTATTGGGTCGGCGAAGAAAGGTTGTATATTGTTTTCAGTAATTGACCTTTTTTAATCGCCATATAATTTTACACTGAACCCGCGATCCGTCGCCTTTAGTTTGATGCATATGCTTTGCGTTGTGGGATAGGGAACCTCAAGTAGCGTGTAAAGCACGGACGTGCGCAAGGGTAAAGTTTTCCTGGGTCCTTTTCTTACGTCTTCGAAAAAATGGCTTTTTTACTTACTTCATATCTTAGTTAATATGTACAAATGGTTTATTTTCTATGCATATATGTTAGCGTATCATTTATTTGTAATTCCGTTGATGATTAACGTTAGCACTTATCGGCCAGCTTGTTGTAACTATGCTCTGCTAGGTAAGAGATCTCCCAAGTCTTTTCTGTGTTTGGTTTATTACAGTTTCACTCATAGATTTTCTCCTGTCGCATACGGAGAAAACACGCAGCGGGAACAGTAGACTGTTTATTACAATATACACTACAGGTGGTGCAAAGTGACATTAACACAGTATCTGAAGATGGTTGGCGCAAACCCAGTATGGTTGAAATACCGGTAAACTGCGGCTCTCTGTGGATGAAAAAATATGTGCTCTTTGAGTGACAGCGATCAAAAGAGATCAGGGGCCAACTTTAAAAATTCTTCATGGGAGCACCTACATATGTAGTCAGTACTTTGCCCCAGAGGATGTGTATACATCATCCAGCCAGCTTCTCAGCTATTCGATTAAGCCGATTAACGCACAGGCTAGATATGGCTTAAGCCTAGGGGCCCCATGTGTGCCAGCCTGCAAGGGGGCCCCCATTGGCGCGGAGGGGGGCGGGGTTGGGGGGCCCACAGACTACTGTAGCCTAGGGGCCTCTGTACACCTTAATCCGTCCCTGGATGGATGGAAGATCAGAAGTGCTCAGACCTTGAGGATCGTGATTTTAATAGCCCTGGTATAAACCATGAATGACCAAGAGTGACACGGAAAGTTGTTTCTTTTTCTGTAAAGGAATCGACATACTGTGTCTGAATGAATCCTGACCCTCTCAGAGATCTGCCATCCAGCCAAATCCAATCATTCTTCTTTGTATTATATTTCAGTCCAATCCAGTAATCATCTTTTTTTCCATTAATGAATTCCTGAAGACAAGACAGTGAATGATTCATGCAGCTCTGCTGAGAGACACACTGACACATACTGTATCTCAGCATAAGCAATAGACCGACACAAAAGTACTGCATCACCCACTCTTCAGATCACATGAGTGAACAACAGGAGAGCAGTTACACTATCTACACTATGACCAGTCACTGAAACAGTACATACTTGTTCCTCATTGCTCTCCATAATTACCAGGTCAGCTCCCAACTTAAGACATTCAATCCGACTGTCCATCCATGATTTCTGCTCCTTGGAGATAAAGTAGCAGCTGTAGTTGAACAGCTCCCAGTCCTGTGGACACGGTCGGCATGGTTTCTCTGCAAAGACAAAGAAGACAAACTCTTTGTCAAAAGTGCAATAAAATGCCGTCAAATAAAACAAAGAAAAGATTGTGGAATAAGGGCTATATTACGTATTTCAGTGGTGTCACAATATGAAGTCAGGTGGTGTAATTTATCTAACACAGCTTTGTAGTTTTTCTTCAGCTGGTTATTGTCACTGGCTATTTCACCTTCCATCACTGAGCATTTCCGGTTGGCTCTATGTACTGTTTCCGCATGACAGTGAGACATAAAACATACAGTGTACCAGTCAATACAGCACCCAATTGGAGAGCAAAGTTTCTATTCTAATTTACTAAAACCTAGAGAAATTTTAAAATCATTTTTAAATCTTATTAGATCATACATGTCAAATTCTGAAAATATAGTGAACCCAATTGGCACCTCTGGGAGAGTCTCCTCAAATATTATTAAAAATCATCAGTATATGTAATAGGTTTTTCTTTAAGTGTCATATGGTTGTTTCAGAAATGCCTGCATTTATATTATACTGACATGATAAGCAATCATTTTGAAACTAAAGCAATAGTCGTTTTTCTACCTGCTATTTAAAAATCTAAACTGATGCAGTGTATTACTAGTCTTACTCTAATGAGGCCATTAGCATATATAGCAGTGGGGGGTGCAGTGTTGCACTGCTCTAAAAATGATCATTTTTACCCTATTAGAAAGTGAACATTTACGCTACACAAAATAACACACTATCCAAGCTGTGAATTATGCTCACTGTAGATACACAAATTCTAATAATATGTTTCACTTACATATAGAAAATGGAAAGTGATTCATACTCACAACAGATACTCAGGACAATGATGCAGATGGTTAGGAAAAAACACAACAGCAGCAGACACACTACAGTCAGCCTGTAG